TTTTAAAATTTTTTTCCATGTGTAAAACCATTAAAAGGTATAAATTTTTGGGTCACACACTGAGAGTCCACTTGGCACAACTAGAATATTAGCAGATAACCAGTTTTCCGTACCTGGTGAACTATGAGGCGGAGATCGCTCACATGTTTTGGTAGAGATTGTTATATTATCAACAGCTGTTCTGTGCTGACTTGATGATTGTTTCCCCTCAGCAACTATTCTTACCTGCAGGTAACAAAAAGTTGCTTTATTCAACAGCTTGATAAAAAACTTGATAACTTGTTGTTTTAATGGTTGCCGTTGTTCAATTGCACCTTAATTACACCCTGAAGCAAACGTTGATACTTCTATCAGTTTTTGTAGTAAAAGGCGCTAAAAGAGTGTTGTTTTCACGCGTCTGGTGGATTACATGCAAAAGTAACTTGGTAAGCTTAAAAATGTTATACCTTAAAATTCTCGTCTGTCATTATTGATACTTTTCCATTGAGCCAGGCACTACCCTGGTACCCAGTGAGACTCCAAATTGACGAATTTGCCTTCGCTATCAGGATAATACTAATAGATCCATAATTAGTCGGAAGAAAGTAAGAGAGGGTTAAACATAACCCAAGTTTCTGGCTCATAGAATTGGTGATTATCCAGGGACTCTCAAGAACAGCCGGTCTGTTGCTTTCGTGAACAAGGATCCCTGTAGATATTGAGAAAAGTGGGAATGTATCAAAATAGTTAAGAAAATAATTGCACTTCATAGTGCTCATAAAACTATCACATATCTCGGAGAAAACAATAGCACTTTGTAGTGCTCATTGAATTATTACGTATCTTAGAAGAAGAAATTGAATGCAAAGTCAAGATTAGGTATCAAATAGCCTAATACATATAAAGACCACAACAAAATTCCCACCAAAAAGTGGCTGTACGTCGCTGAGCGTCACTCTATCTCTTTTTTACCTGACTCAATCGCAAGTTTCCATCCTTGATCGGTATTTATCCAAGAACACAAGTCAGAAGTGAATCTGCAACCATTGATTTCCAAAGCTATCCGTAGGACGAAACAATTTTATTATTTTATTTGAAGGATGTGATATCGTCATTAAAGAGAAGAAGTTTCAGAGGAAAAAAAGATAAAACTGATAATCATCCTTATTAACTATATATAATTGTTATAATTATCAAAATTATTATTACATTACTGTTATTATTATTATCATTGTTATCGTTATTTTCATTGCTGTAATATCATTACTATGGTAACTATTTCAAAACTAATACCAGCAATGGAAGCAATAACACATTTAAGGTCAGGAAAATTCACATATAAATCCAGAAAAGATCAGTGTGGTTAAAGATACGTGAACGATCTCACACATAAATCATTAAAAGAAAAACCCTGGTTAAATGAATGAACAAATTGACGAAGCCAAAAAGAAATAAGCAAAAACCAGAGAAACCACATTATTAGGCATTCAAGAAAAAAAAATGTAAAAAAAGGAACGAACTGAGAGAGTAAGAAAGGCAAGAAGAAAAAGGCAAGGAATATTGTTTTTTAGTTATTGAAACTTGTGTTACCTTTAATATGCACCTCGCCGATTTGCCTATTTATTTCAGTTAAATGTGATATCTCTTCCTCCAATCTATATGAAATCTGAGGGAAAGATTATGAAATCAAAAGAAATTGAAGTGTTTAAAAAAGCCTCAAACGGTTCCTAAAAGAATGTGTTGGCTTTGTATTCCCACATAGTAAGGTACTCAACTATGAGCCGGTAAATACTTTGGGAATTGAAGGCATATTAGAGGAAAATTCCTCGTTAGATTTCACATGAAGAATAGATATCTAACAAAATGCGAACCTACTTTCCAGGTGAAAAAAAAGGTTTACACGACCAAATTAATGTCCCACGCGCACTATTTTCAGTAACCTTTTTAAATTATCTGGTAAGGAGAGGCTAGGTAATGAAGCTCATAGTTCCCAAAGGCTAATATTTTCAAACATCAATTCATTTATTCTAACGATCGATGAAGTAGTATCCAATTGAACAACAATGTGTACTTTTCATCGAACTTCACATAGACGCCTGATTTGTACCCGAGTTCATTTATGATACCGAAGCAAAGCGAAAACACGAATCTAAACAGAAGAAAGGTCGATCAGGAATTTCAAGATAAGCTAAGATGGCTATTCTACTGTTCAGTTTGGAACTCATTGCTCATCATGAACGCAGGTTTTTTTCCTAATTAAGCGTGTCACCAAACGATGTGATAATGGTCAGCTTGACCTCCAGCCTACAATTCTGGCCTGAATACTTAGCCTAGGTAGCCAATCACATTGCAGGAATCATCTTAGCTTTTACGGCTCTCCCTTGTCTTGCCTTGATTTAAAAAAAAGCATGGTAAGTTAGATCTTTCACCGAAATATGAAACACTGATCCTGACTTACGTTTAAGAAATAGATTCCCTCTTGAAGCACAGTTTCGAGTGTGGTATTGAAATATTTTTCTTGACAATCCACTTTCAAGCTGCTGTCAACGAGACTTGTTTTCCCAGCAAATTCAAAGTAAAGTTGAATCGGACACATTGGGCAAAGTAATCCACGACAACAGTGTTTGTAAGTAGCTGTACCAGGGTAAAAATAAAAGTTGACTTAAAAATATCCATTAAAGTATCTTCAAGTATTTTAACGCAATGATACGATTTATTTTGTTATGATGTGTTTAGGTCTATTCTGACATCAGTACAATTTTTCCTTGCTTTAGTCTCAACAGGCTGCATATTTGTCGCCATATTTCTCTATTGAAATCTGCTACCGGAGTTACCTGACTTGATACTTCCTTCCATGTATAGATGACACAATTGACTATGTCTCCACCTTTGATGCAAATCCTTTTATCTGGGTGAAACCATTTGTTTATGTTGGGGGGGGGGGGGGTAGGGGAGGGGAGGATTGTAATAATTTAAACTTACCCTGGATGGAAAACTCTTGACCAGTCCTGATAACTTTAGGAAGGAAATCCATCTCAAAGTCTACATAAGTCACTCCTAAAACGAAAACCCCGCCAATTCATACTCAGTAATAATAAACCAAGCGGGAAATAAAGAGATGAAAAATCATCTTCCTTAATTTGCTTCATCTGCTTCTCCTGAACGCTCCCACGACAGCAAAGTAGTTCATAAAAACTGCTAACAATATAACTCGAAGCTTGACTCAAAGACAGTTTAGTAGTCAGAGCACAATCTTCATAAAAAGGGAGCTGTGATTACTTTGATGTTTGACTAAGTAAAATTAATACAATAAATAAACCACTTTAATAATTAGTTTATCCAGTTTACCAGGCCGAACCCAGAACAAGTGTGCTTTTTGAATGGGACGCTCGTAAGTGCCGTTTGGTAACTTCATTCCCACTGACAAACAGTCTTTCCCAAATCCTTGTTTCATGAGTGTTTCAATGAAATAGAAGTGGCATTTACTCAACCAAATTTCTTCAGAAGTCTGCGATGAAGGGTACCTGGATACAGTAAAAAAAATTCCTGAGAACTAAAACTGCCAGTCATAAAAAATAGAATACTAATTTCAATTTACAAAGTTCATCGTGAAGAATGTTGAAGATGGTTCTAATTTCATCGATTCCTCAATCCAAGTGTGAAGAACAAACAAACGAACAAATATTAATCAGATCCCTTGCTTAAGAAGCAATGTAACGTTCCACTCACAACCGTGTATAAATACTAAATCAAAGAAATAGTTCTTACTTATTCCACTGATTATAATCCGTCCAGTAGCCCGACTTTAATTCAGCCAAACGCTTCTTGCCTGTTTCTTCATCGTTTTCATCCACCAAGTTGTTCACTTGGGGCATGTGAAGCCATAGCTGACAAGCATCGTCACATGCAACGTAAAATGTGTAATTTCCATTTTCTGGAACCTTTTGAGAAAATTGTTTACGCATGAAATGTTTTCTAGTGGACTCACGGTGTAGAGCGCCGGACTGCCGTGAGGGAGGTCCAAAGTTCAAACCCCAGACCAGACTAACACTTGTTTGGGATAATAACTGTAAAATAAATATCTGGAAATTTCTAGAATACTTTGTAAATGTAAGGACTCAGTCGTGTAGTAATAGCAGTTTTTGTTATTGTCGGGAGTGACTGACACGGTTAGAAAGCTATACCGAGAAAGGGCTATTGTGGAAGATTGTTCATTTCAGGGAACTTTGGAGACAGCGGTGAGTATCTGTCAGTGATGAGCTTAAATATAGACAGCGGTGGGCTTAAATAAGTTTATCGAGGATAATTACTGTACCGCCATTAGGAGTCGCTCCTTAGTAATAATATTACAATTTGTTTTAATACAGTAGTTGGGTTTCTTGGAGAATACCGCTCTTTCTGTCGGTTAAATTATACCGCAATAGTCTTTAAACAACTGAGGCCTTTTCTTTGACAACTGCAGAATAACTTGCTGCCTTTTCTATGACATCTGCAAATGTTTATTATTCTCATATAAGGACGATAAATTGTGGGCCTGTCTCCTGCACTTTTTCTGTACAGGCTATTAGGGGACATTAAAGAACCCACCCACTTCCTGCAAAGAGTATGGAACGTAGCGGTACCGTGTTCTGGCCTTGTCATTGTTTTTATAGCCCCCCATTTGAGCCAGCTCAAAGCTAAACAGGGCCAGCCTGTCTACATATCGCAAATATATACACACATACATACATACACCCATACTTACAAATGCGAAGGCGAAATGCACTATGATTAAGACGTCAATCGATGGTACTTAAACGTACTCTCTCATTTATCTCTAAATTGAATTTTTGCAGGGATTATCAATTTTTTTGTAGCTTTCAAAATGATGGGAATTCTTTCAGCATTATTCATTTCTCATTACAAATTTGAAACATTGTTCTCAGCAAACCTGAAGGTATGTTGCAAGGCGTTGTCCGTAATTGTAGTGAAAATTTCTCCCCGCATCCAAATTTTGAAGAATCCTGACAGCATCTGGACTTTTCGGAAACCTCCCGTCATCTAACAAATTTTCTACTGCTGTAGAAGGTATCTGATACCAAAGTTCTTGACGAACGCCATGGGCAGTTACCTCATAGCCTGTAAAAAAAAGGAGCCAAAATTGTAAAAATAAGTTCTTAACCCTGTTCCAATTAAAAATTATCAAAATCTAAAAGCATGCAAAGTTCTGCTCACCCATTTTCTTTATGAGACTTAAAAACTCTAACTGAATGCCATAACTCATAGATGGAAACGGCCAGAAAGAATTTCAAAGGAAATAATAATAATAATAAAGATCTTTATTATTAAAAAGAAACACGTCCAGAAACAAAACGTCTGGACTTACAATTTCCTACATATATCTATCTATTATGTATATACAAGACTAAGTAACTACACAAATTCGAAAAGACATCTATTGAAAAAGCAACGTTTAAAGCGTTCGGTTCTGACTGTAGGCAGGATGTAATTATGTCCTCTTTTCCTGAGGCTCCTAGCTCTCTGAGCTGGTAAAAGTTCATGTAATGGATTTGCGCTGTCCCAAAGAAGCCTGTCTTTCATTCTAATTACATCCATTATGGGAGTGTATTTGCTAGTGTAGCCATAACGTAAAGCTCTCTTACAAAACTTGTCAATATGAGAGAGATATTTACTGTTGTGGGCAGAAGCCCACACCTCAATTGCGTAAGTGAAAAGTGACATAATTAGACTGTCAAACAGCAGAAATGCCCTGTACTCAATAATATAACAGCGAGAAAAATGATACAGATGACTATCCTAAGTGGGTTTTCTCGGAAAGGTAGAGCAGCATAGTATAATCGGACTTTTCTTCTCTTAATTCTAACTCTTTACTTCCAAAAGAGTAGAAAAACACCTTACCCGTCGCAGTGACCAAAACCTCACAGAGAGTTAAACTGGTGACATCATGAGCCGATATGGTTACACTCGTAGCCTCAATAGACGGTTCGCACATCATCAATCTCTTATACTCTGTCCTCCAATCATAAACGTCGCAGTTTGCTAAAGCAAATTCCTTGCGGTTTCTTAATGTAACATGTAGGTTAGGAAATTGTTCTAAACAACAGTCTGGCCTGTTTAACACCAACATTTTGTAAACAAATGCCTTTCTTTCCAGAGTAACACTCCACCAAAGAGGTTCGTCGTTGGACTAAAGAAGAACATCAGTTAAGTCTCGTTTGGTTCAAATTAAAACTAATTTTGAGTTAATCCTGGAGCGTACTATAGTAAAGCGAATTAGAAATCAAACAATTAAATATGAATAAAATTACATACTATTATTCGTTTCATCGTAAAGCAAGAAGCGATATTTCCATCAACCACTTGGGCAGACGTCCCGATGAAATCCGCGTGCAACGACTTGCCTGTTGGTCGCCTAGCAATATAATTCCCTAAATTGGAAAAAAAATGGCGAAAGTTACCCAATATATCAGAAATTTGTAAGCTAATGTTCTCAAAACAAACGACCAATAACAAAGCAAATAAACATAAACAAAAACGACAAGGCTCCAAGCTCTTTGTTTTGTTTCATGGCGACTTTTGCCATTTCAAGCGTTAAAATAAAGAAATGAGCGGAAAACGAGGGGGGATTTCCAATCAATTGTTTGCCATGGTGACAAGATTATAGTAAAATGATGATATTGATATACGTACTCTCCTCTGTTTCACACAGATAGCTTCTTTGGAAATTGCACTGGCTTTGAAGAAGTTTCCACTGCGAACGCTTTTCCAAAAACCCACAATGTTGAGTTGGAGAACGAAGAGGATATCCTTGGTGCCAGCTATCTGCTGAGATGTGTCCATCTCCAAGCCACTGCCACAAACCGAGCCTTAGTATTCCTATAAAGACCTGAATATCAACATTTGGCAGATGTTGATCTTTTTTGTCAAGGCGCGTGTCCATCGCTTTTCTTTTAATCTCGGTATCCACAATGGCTAAGTCACTTGACTGTTCTTGACAATTTTGACGGGCTGTTTGCCAGTCCACGGAAACATCGCCAGCAAATACTTTAAAGCACGACTTTTCCACTTCAAACCAGCCATCTTCACAGGACGCTCCTGGGAAATTAAAAAAAAATAAGTAATGCATTTGCAATGGCATTACCAGATCTCACTATTCCTTTCACTTTTCAATTACAAAGAAAAATGCGAAATTTGGTGTGTCCCAGCACAGGTTGAATAGGGTTGCTGCACACTCTCGGCAGATCTTGAAATAACAAATCATTATTGATGGTACGTTTTCCCTTGGTTTGTTTTAAAAAGACTTTATCCTCACCGGAAATTGAGGTTTTCTTTTCACAGATATATCCTTGTCTTGAAAAGCAATTTACATCATTAATTCGCCAGCCTTTTCCTTTCCAAGCATCATTCCATTTTTCGCCGTTTATCACATTACCACACCATCCGTCTCCAGATGGTTCGTAAGGACCCCATAATGATTGGAATTTATCGAAAGGAAAAATCTCGTTTCTAACTGTTATCCATTGGCTGTCACTGACAGCGTGGGCTCCTACGTAATAGGTTTCCCATTCATTTAGATATTCATCAAGGACTTCAGATATTTTTTGAGCAATTTTGGTATCCTTTAGGACAACAAGGTGCCCTCCTCTGTTGTAACAGTCTAATTTGGCGTTATCCCAAGTCTTCGGCAGAGTCAAGTGCACTTGGAGACAGGAATTGGAATTTAATCTGCGCCACCCAGGAAGACAGGAGCTTTGTTCTGAAAAATTTAAAGTAGCTCTAATTAATCATCGTGCCTACCTCATTATGATAAATCCTACGTGGTATGCGATTGCATTCTGGGTTTAAAAGATTTGTTTTGGCCATTCTGCAGCAAGAATGTCACGGTTGCACTTTTTAACACTAGAACTCTGTATAGCTACTAAACATAGCTGGACATTACTCAAAGTAGATTATATTTCTTCCTACGGCAGTTGGCCTCGCATCGTCCAATATTCAATTTTTATTATCTCTTCCAGCAAACGTTTATTTCCCAATCAATCGCCCCTGGAAATTGACTCACCGCGTAATGAAATATTCGCGAAAAACCATTCTTGAATCGTCTGATCGCAACAAGGTTGATAGTCAGCTAGTGTAACCCCAAGAGGTGAATCCTGGCCTCGATTAATAAGCAGAACTTTGCGGTAACCTTCTAGGTGAGCGCTTGAAGAATAAAAGAAGTCAAAAGGGAGACATCCGCGATCATTCAATGAAATATTTCGAGATATACCATTTCTACAATGAGCTGAGTCCACCGGGTAAATAAAATACATTATGTCAGCAGAGGTGTTCCTGGTCTGTTGAGCTTCCATCGTGAACTGATGAATCCAGCCACTATGACAAGGAACTCTGTCAAGCTTGAAAGCCACAGTCTTCGCAGAATCTCTCTTAATGTACGCATGCAAGTTTTGTGTGACTAAATCAGACAAATAGGAGAAAATTAATTACATGAAAATTAATCTCATCAGCACAATTTCAATGTATCACCGTAGGGCAGGAGTAACTTAAGTACCAATTTAAAAACCAGAGGAATTTATAGGTTTAGAAAAGGTGTATTTAATTCACGCATTCAATTGAAAGGAGGCATTCTAGAATTAGACGAAGTTCTCTGAGCCGACATTAAAAATGGAGCGATCATAGAGTTATATTTCAGTTTGATAAATATCTCGCAGTAAATCAATAATCTAGAAAGTGGAATTTACAAAAATACAACGGGTTGGCTATCGGGTTGCCAGTGTTTATACAGCAACGACACGTGACCTTACCTTGTCTTCTTCAAAGAATATAATTGGAATTTTCAACAGTTTCACTTGCCTAAATTTTGGCATTTTCCATTTGACAAAATGATATTATCGATAGCGATATCGCTTGCAAAATACAAGCCTCTGATAGCCTCAACCACTATCTGAAAGGTAAAGTACATCTTAATCACTTTGCGTTGATGAATCAAAAGCACATATTACTGACATTTTTTTTTTTCATGCTCGTACATGTATATACATTTCAAAAGGAAGCCATTTTACCATCAAGGTCATTGTAACACGTATCTTGTTACTATTTCGATTCTTTGTTTTAAAGATAATAGGAAGACTCAAGGACAATTTTGAACATTAGAACAGCAATGCAAAAAAAAGATTCATAAAGGGATTCACTAGGTTAGAGTTCTCAGGTGAAGAAGTCAAAAGCGTTGGATACAATTTTATCAAAATAAACCTTGAGGGAATGAGGAATAAGTCACCTGATATTCAACAGACGAATTAACGAATACGGCTGCCTGCAGCCATTGGTCTGGGTGATTTCCTGATTTAATCCATTGTATCATCTCACTGTCATTTGTTTTCAGGTAAATGATGAGGCTCCCCATTGAACTACCATACATGTGGTACCAAACTGACAAACACTTTGGACCTTGCATTTTGGGGCTTATAAGTCTAGCCCTGTCACCATGATTACGACCACTGGCCTCCACGTACGCATACCTTCCGTGGCCTATGGAGAAATTAACATTAACGAAATTGCCTCTGCGAGTTGATCACGTACAAAGCTTTTAATCTTTAAAATAATGTATAAAATGGAAGATCGCATGCTTGCAAATCTTAAACCTAACCGCTTGGTACCATTATAAACCTGTGGCACTTACTTATTAAAGAATTAAAGCTAAACAGCGATGAGTGCAACACTCCATTAGCTAAGTCTGGCAATTTCAAGATATGTAATTCTTGCATTTAAAGTTGCGCTATTTGTAACAGTTACCTGACACGTCAGACTGAGGTCCAGTCCATTGGCTTGGCGTGGCCCCTGACTGTACAATCCAATTGATCTGCACTATCCCTGTTTTGTCATTTTCCCAATCGCATAAAGTAGAGTTATCGAAATCGCAGTCTGAATTGTAGAAACAAAATCCATGTCTGAAACGTTATCATGACAATGTGCAGATTATCGAGGTTAAACACTTATGTGAGCTTTGTGATCTACAATTTTGATAATGACTATTGCCAGAGAAAGGTTTTCAAATTCATTCTCATTTTTATTCTTTGAATAATCAAGGCAGTTAAAACCGAAATTCTTCTTTTCTTTCTATCTTAGGGGTTGGAGAGAGGTTAAATTTGCTGATTACAAGTTGTAAAACAGTTTCCCCAGTGAGGCATTCGCTGGTAAGACTGAAACAATGCTCTGTTAAATGCGTTTAAGGACGTTGTCTGTATTTAAACAACACGATATAAGCAATGGAAAAATCTCCGGAGGTGTCATTAGTGAGTAAGTCTGAAATCTACTGCTGAATGTTAAACAACGTTTTAATTTAATCTTGAGGTAACAGGCTTCTGATTTGATCAAAATGACAAAACATTCTTCTCTTTGAAAAATAACAGAGATTGTTTTATGTAACATAAATGATACGATTCCGGCAAATGCAGTGAAAAAATGATTGAACCAAAATTCCTAAAAGCAAAACGTGTGTAAATTCATAATAATTTCGACAGCTATCTCGTTGACTACCAGTTTTCCAAACAGGCTAAAGGAGCGTTGACGTGTGCGGCATTATTGTTGAAAAGTGCATGCGAACGAAACGTTCGTCAAAATTAATGACTTTTTTATGGTCATAATAGTCTCTCTATTTCGATCCTTTATTTTTCTGCTTGTATGCCCTCAGATACTGCTCTATACTTTTACCTGTCGGATTTATAATCTTACCTGGCGAGAGCACACTTGTACTGTTTGATGCCCAGAAAGGTCTTAGAGTTAGCAACAACAGAGTGGCATAGGTGATTCTCTTATAACTGTAAAATGGCATATCGCCAGTCGTAGGACGCTTTTAAGATCCTCTTACTTTTCCGTGATCTTCGCTGAAAGTACTTTCTACCAGCATATGATCAGCATCTTCAAGATAAAAACCTTATTAGCAAACAAATTGGTTTGATATTTGCAACTGAAAATAACGGATGTAATTAATATTTCGAGCCAATCTATACAAGCAAAATAACCATTATCACTTTTAAGACTTCCGAAAGGCTTAAAGCACTTATAACCAATTTAAGTATTGAGTGGAACTCCTCGCTAAGTAACGAATGACAGTGTAGGAAATCCGAAGCAAAAAGAACCAAAAAGCTGAGGAAGAGGAAGTTTCTTTGTGTTTCATAAACCATTCTGTATTTTGTATGGTGATATCAATTACACATATCAATAATCAGAGAGATTAGTTTTAATTACACGGAATTTTAATATCCATTTATTTGCTTTCAGTCCCCCATGACATATCCCTATTATTTTTAGGAAATTCGTAAAAGAAAAAAGAAGAAAATGGAAGAGACAAACTAAAAACTGATTCATTCTGCCATGGATGGCATTTCTGACTTCAATTATCTGTCACTGTCGACTACTTTTTAGGGAGGCTCCACAGGGTTTTTGCTTAATGTTGGCGCGCGCGCCAGCGTAATGTTTTTCTGGAAAATTTTTGTTTTCGCTTTCAAGATCATTAAAAGCTATCAAAAGGCAAAGAAAAAGGTTCGGAAAATCGTTTTCTGTAGTAAATATTATCAAAATGGTTTTCGTTATTAAGCTAAGGCTTCACGAAGGGAGGCGCTCGCCAGCGATAATTTGGCTTTGCCTTTGATTTTGATTTTCTTCAATCTGCTTTGGTGAATCTCTCAAAATTGTCACAATTTGTGGAAACGGATGGGGGTTCCAAGGCAGTTTCCTCGCTATTTGCAATTTTGTGTCTTTTTCCTCTGTCTCAAACTTGGTATTATAAATTGTTTTTGTCAACAGGCACTAGAGAGGGCACAAATGTTTAAAGGTCCAGCAAATCTTGGGAAATTCCACCGAGGGAAACGCGATAAATCTTACTCGAAAGATCCTTATTTTCTTTGTTGCAAAACATTACTTAATGGAATAGGACTTCGCCAAGATCGGTGTCTGAGCACGCGGAGACTTTCGAATCCGGCAATCTTTCCCACGGTGTTTTCTTTTCTTTTGACCTCTTTTTCAGGCGCAAAAGGCCTATGAGTATTACGCGTGTAGTTGCTGGAAACCCTAGATTCCATCACATAAAAACTGTATTGAGCTAAACTGTTTTAACACACCTTTTCAGATAACAATCGTGCGATCGTATCGAGCCGCCATGTTTGTTTTTCATGTTGACAGTTTTAGCTCGTACTTCGTTCGCATGAAGCCTCCTTAATGGAATGTAAAGTAACCTTAGAAACAATGCTATGAAATTAATGCTATGTTTAATGCCGCCTTATAAAACCCCTTCACCACACCTTCGCTGATATCGCAGAGATCATGGGTTCAAATCCCGTTCAGGCCTTATTTTCACTACTGTTTAAGTGGTGTTCATAACTGCGAAGATTGCTTCCATATTCAAAACCCTTTCAGTCGAATTCTGATATGAAAATAATCTTCATCCGTTTCCATGTGAAATCGTAGGTTTCTGAGATACATGTAAATTAGCAATGGGCACCATGTAAGAAAATTGCATAGAATAGAAGCACAGTATGGAAATAAACACTATAAATTTGTTTGGCTGGTTACTGCCATCGTTGAAATGGACAAATAAAAGGGAAAATTTAAAACACAGATTTAACCAAGGTACAGGCGTATTTCAATCTGTGAGTAATGGATATATTGAAAACAAGCGAGGTGTTCCTTAATGCATTAAGCTTAAAGTGTTATAAGAAGGAGCGTAGTAAAAACAAGCTTACTTTATTTTTTTAGTTCTCTGTACATCTTACTGTTATAGAAAGTGATAAAGTTACACACATCATGCTGATGATGCATAATCACGAGTACATTCAAATTGTGTCCGTGATTGTTATAATGCAAAGTTTGCAGCGCTGTGGTAATTTTTCAATCATAATTGCTCTTTGGGCAGTTTAGACGTTTCCATGAATAAAAAAAGATAAAACGTCGCGACTCAATTAACTTTGTCGGAAGACGTAACATTTTGGCTTTGTTTAAGTGTCATCATTAAAATATCAGCGTGATAATAAAAGGTGCATCAAACAAGCTTAAGATATAGTGGAAACTCTGGAGGCGTCATTTTATGATACTAGCCACTCAGCTAAGAGAATTTAAGGCGAACTGGAAATCGCTGATGTACGTATCGATCATCTGTACAAATGAGTCTTATCTTAAGTAAGTCATCTCTAAACCGCCCAGACTTGAAGAATATCCAAACTGAATTGTAGATGGTTTTCATCCTTCGAAGTCCTTTAGTTATCTATTTACGATAGTCCCTTTCCTTTAGCACCTTGTGCTACGACCATACAATCGCGTCGCCTGCGGCCAAGCCTGCTTTGAGGGTGGAGATGGTCATGTTGCACTTAAACGGAAATTAAAAGCTATATCTCTTTGTCATTGCACGCAACGAAGCACACAAAAAAAGGGTTGCTTTTTGTTGCAACTGATCACGTCGATCTATAAAAAGAGTATTATTATACCTGAGTGCAGTTAGTCTTTGAGAATAAATTCTCTACGCACTATTTGCATCTTTTCATCTAAGAGTGTCCATTGCAGGTGCTGTCAAACAATAACGAAAGGCCGTCTTTTTTGTCTTGTTTTGTTTTTTTGTTTTTTTCATGTATCTGTTATATCAAAGCACAGTAAACTTTATGGAACCCTTAAAGAGTAGATATTCACGAGTTTTCGTTACCGAATTCTGAGGCAAAAATCTTTTAGATGTTACGATATCAACGAAGGTTTTGCTTTGGTGTCAGCAAAACCTTGCTGTTAAAGTTATTTCTCTCCCTTTTTTCCTTGGCTGGACTGTTTAATTACCTTAATTTTGAAAGGACAGTCCATCGTTCCTTATATCGGTTTTAGATTCGCAACAAACAGCACCCAGCTTTTCGATTTAAAAACTTTGCGAACTAAAATACGACCCAGTTGCTTTTCTTTTACGCAAATATTCAAATAATTAAAAACAAACATAAACTGACCACAAATATATCAAACCAGTAGTTACCTGTATCTAAACAGTACTTTCGACCTTCTCTCACTCAGTCGTGAATTCGATTTCAGTGCTGCTAAAATGCACCAAAAATGATTCCAGTTTTTGGGAGATTTAACATCACCAGTAATCTACCTCTAACTTCGTAATATCTTCGCCCACAGATGGCTCTTCTGGATGACTTTTTTTCATCATATTTATTCAGTTTCATCCGTGTTATAGGGCTTTTGGCTCTTTAAATAAATTGGAATTGTGGTTCTACCCACTCTCTCCTTCACTTAAAGTGGAATTATACAGAACTCTAAACAAACTCAAGTCCAAAAGTAAAGAATTTTATGACCCATTGCATTTAATAACTGTCACCTAAAAAATAAATTTCATTGCGTACTTCAGGTTAATACCAAATCGCTTTGACAGGGAATGAAATATTATTCTTTTTATTTACCAAGTTAGTTAACGTCTTGAAGTGTCATGTTAGGTAGCTTCATGACAAGGGAGATGAGTGACGCCTAACATCTGTCTAAACACTGCCTTGTAAAAACTCCCTTTCATCAGAGGAATCTTCGAATAACATAGACTGCTTTATCTAGTTCCAATTGATGACAGAGAGAGAAGAGTATGACCTCCACTTAAAGACGCCACAAGCTCGAACATAATGTCGGATACCGCGGCGCTCTAGGTTTCTTCTTTATGCAAAATTTCGAAGTAAACATCGTGACCCTGTTGGTAAGGTGCAAATCATCTTAGACTTTACTATAAATGCAAACTGACTCGATTCGAGATCGAGCTTAACTGAGTGTTTATTCATCTGTTAAGTATGCAAATTTTCAGTTACACTATAGAATGAAAAGAGTCGAATTGAATCCAAATATCAAATTGAACTTATCCAAAACAGTTCTGAAAGGTATTATTGTGCGACGTGTCAGTTATTGTGCGACGTGTCAGCAGCTGATTGGCGATATCAAACACGTGAAAAAAATATCGTATTTTTTCACCGTAGTTTATAGGATAAAATGAATTACAACCGCGAATTCATCACTACAGACGCCATATTTCTTGACTTCATTCAAATATATTTTTATCTGCGACTTCCGAAAGAATAGGAAAGCGAACGTAATACGCTTAACAACTTATTTTCATTTTAAATAAAATGCAAAGACTCGACCCTTTCATTGATCTCGATTCATAATTGCTTGTTTTGCAGAAAAAGACGCGGTTTCGGTGCCCAAGATCTGCCAAACAATCCTAAAGATGGAGATGAGCTGAGGCACAACTTTCCATCTTCAAATAAAATGTTCATAAAAATTATAGCAATGAACGCAGAATCAGAAGGTAAACTCTTTATTTTACAGCTAAGTAAAGATGCCACAATATTTGCTTGCTTGTGACTGTGTCCTCATAGAGATGAAAATAGACGTCTTTCTCAAACTGACCAATGAAGGTACATTCAACAAAATATTGATTGACAACTGATTTTTTGGTTATTGCTCTCTGTCATTTTTTGATTGACGAAATGTTTCTCCTGCAATTTTGGGCATGGGCGAAAACGGATGGGTTTGTTTCACGATTTCAAACTCAGCTCCTCGCAGCCGCTGCTGTCGTATATTGCCTTGTTGAGTATTGGTACATCTACCTGTGCAAATACGGTTAGCAGGTGGTTTTCAATGGTTTGGTTTCCTTTAAGGTCCTTCACTTCGTTGAATTTCCCAGGTTTGGCTTCAGACCCAAATTCCGACGTAAAAGCTTGACATTGCAGAAGGGAAGACAGATTAATATATTTTGGTTTCCCTCTCACTGTCCTAAATGCAGAAGTATATTCCTGACTCCTTCCTGAATAAGATTGGTGA